ACTGCATGAGGTCAGGTGTGGAATTTTCCACTTGTGTTATGCCACTGCTCAAAAGGTTTCAGGTTTGGGGACATTTTGCATTTCTAGTGTTAAGATTAGGGTTGCTCAGCCTGGATTTCCATTGCTTAGCACAGCTCCTGATATTTTGTATCCACTTTGTAGCCACTCAGATATTCACTCAACAGAAATGACAGCAGTCTTGCAATTAGTTTAAAGGGAGAAAACTTAGCTGGTAATTACTATCTTCAAGACCCAGTGCTCCTCCACCCTCCATCCTTTGCCCATGCTAGATACATATTATAAGTAGTATCTGCTTTACTACTTACAAAGCATTCTCTAATACCTTAACTTGGGGTTCCCTTGGGAACCCCCTGTTAGGAACCAGGACACACAGTGGGAGGTGAGTGGTGGGCAAGCTCTATTTGTATTTACAGCCAGTCTCCATCACTTGAATTACTGCCTGAGCTCTGCCTTCTGTCAGATCAGCAGCGGCATTAGATTCTCACAGGAGTGCAATCCCTATTTGAACTGCATATTTGAGGAATCTAGGTTGCAGGCTTTTCATGAGAATCTAATGCCTGATTTGTCACTCTCTCCCATCACCCCCAGAGGGACTGTCTAGTTGCAGGAAAATAATCTCAGGGCTCCCACTGATTCTACATTATGGTGAGTTGTATAATTCTTTCATGATATATTATAATGTATAATTATTTAATTATTACAATGTAATAATGACAAATAAAGTGCACAATAAATATAATGTGTAGCCGGGCACAGTGGCTCACGCCTTGGGAGGCCAGGGTGGGTGGATCATGAGGTCAGGAGTTCAAGACCAGTCTGGCCAAGACGGTGAAACCCTATCTCTACTAAAAATACAAAAATTAGCCAGGTGCAGTGGCAGGCACCTGTAATACCAGCTACTTGGGAGGCTGAGGCAGGAGAATCATTTGAACCTGGGGGTGGTGGTTGCAGTGAGCCAAGACTGTGCCACTGCACTACAGCCTGGATGACAAAGTGAGACTCCATCTCAAAAAAAAAAAAAAGAAAAAAGAAAAACTGGCTGTGGTGGCTCATGTCTATAATCCTAGCACTTTGGGAGGCTGAGGCAGGTGGATCACCTGAGGCCAGGAGTTCGAGACCAGCCTGACCAACATGGAGAAACTTAGCTGGGCATGGTGACACACGCCTGTAATTCTAGCTACTAGGGAGACTGAGGCAGGAGAATTGCTTGAACCCGGGAGGCAGAGGTTGCAGTGAGCCGAGATCACGCCATTGCACTCCAGCCTGGGCAACAAGAGCAA